GGGGGCTGTTTAAAACCTCTATCTATCTGATTGCCTTCCAGACTTTATAGCCCAGACCTCAGCAATTTACTTTGTGAGTGGAAATAGCTTTGGGAATGGCGTATGGCGTTCATTTCACTTCAAGTGAAGTGAAATGAGATGGTGGCAGTAATGAGAGATAGAAAAACTGGCACGGCTTGAGATGCCCGTCCTGCTGGCTAACGGACACCTACACAATGACTAGTGAGGGGGTCAGATGAGGTCAGCTAAAGAGTACTGATCAAGGGAAACAAGCAAAAACAGAGCACGGCTGATTGGAGATGTAAAAGGATGAGGCTCATCAACACTTGTTGAATCGGAACTGGATATTGAATTTCAAAGACACAAACAAGATTCAGCAGGCAGGGAGGGGAGAGCTTCCCCTTATGTGTGCTGCTGTTCTCATAGGAGCCAAATACTTCTCCGCTGATCAATAACCCGGAGAAAGTGGCCACTGGACTTGATCCTAATTAGTGCAGAGTTAGAGCAGATTAGCTCGCACCTGAGCCTTTCCCAAACAACAGCTCCCTCCCAATCAGGCTACCTAGAAATACCAGCATCAGCATAATTCAGGTTGGGTGTGTGTGTGTGTGTGTGTGTGTGTGTGTGTGTGTGTGTGTGGGGGGGGGGGGGGGGTTGGTATATGAAACCTTTTTTGTCACATCTTGTTTGTTGTTCATCTCATTGTGGAGAACATCAAGCTCCCCACAAACTAAGTCAGGGCATCGCAAAGCACACCGTAGGGTGGGGACAGGTCGGTCTTAAGGACACGGTGACAAGTGCCATCGCTACGGTGGTTCCCATGGCAACGGAGCGATTAGCCGCAAACCTTTGGTGTCGAAGCCAAGTCTGCTAAACAGAAAGAGGTTCAAGGAAAGGTTAGGAAGAGGAGACCATGAGAAGATTAGTATGTGGTGCTAGTCTTGTGTGTGTGTGTGTGTGTGTACGTGTGTGTGTGTGTGTGTGTGTGTGTGTGTGTGTGCGTGTGTGTGTGTGTGTGTGTATGTGCATGCACGCGAGGCAAGCCCCTGGCTCATCTCCAGTGTTGTGAATTGACAGTTGCTATAAATAGAAAATACCTAAGCCTCTGTAGTTCTGTTTTCCTCTAAACCATGCAGCCAAATTTAAATATCATGAGCTTATTTCTAACAACGCAATTGATTTTGGAAGCTCATCATTTGATTCAAGAGCATCTTTCACATATATTTTTATATTTGTGGTTCGGTTGTATTCTGTTGGATACAGCTTGTCAAAATATTCACAAAACGAAAAAAGAAAACCAAAGCGAACGACACAGATTCAATCCAATCTGGACGCGAAAAGATTAAAAAAAAGACCAAATGAAAGAGATACTCAATATGGTGTACTCTCCAGTTCTGATAGAACCGATGCGTCGCCTTACATACGTGGTGCACGGTAATTAAGTCTTACCCCAGTGTAGAGTAAGCCTTTTGTCCTCTCGCCAGGCACTCCATGACGCGACGCAATGACATTTTGAAGTGTGCTTTCCATGCCGAAGACGCATTTTGATCTCGCTAACAAAACAGAAGAATAGGGGTCCAAAGATTGATACCTGTGGACCGCCACATGTACCATTAATACTGTATCTACATACTGAATAGGATTTAAACCAGCTATTGATGCCTGCAGCTTGTGTTATCTATCCTTTAAAATGTGGCCATGTCTTTGAGTCTCTCTCAAGGCGTTAGATTCACACGTTTTCTAGTAGTTGATACGTAGGATTTGAGCAAAACCTCCTCACTTTGATACTGTAGTCCTGAAATAGCAGAATGAGCCATGTCATGGCTAATTGGCCTTAATGGACAGTGACAAGCCCTGTGTACTACGTGTGTCTGTGTAATGTCCGCGGCTTCTCACCGAGCCTGACCCGGTTTGGCCTGACACTTCTGCCGGTCTGCATACAGACAGAAAAATCACAGCGGTTCACACACACACACACACACACACACACACACACACACCCTGCAACACATCAACTACCACTCTCAGCTTTTTAGAAACACAGAGACTCAAACAAAATAAGCCACAGAGTCAATCACACACACACACACACTCATATTAAAACCAATATATGCCGACACACAGTGAGATGCCATCTCCAGGTCAATCTACCTCGTCATTCAAAGAGACAGAGGGATATTTGTAGAGCTGCCAACAATGATGATGAGTCTATTAACCCGACTGCTTCTGGGTCAGAGAAGAAACCTCTCCACTTCTACTATTTCACCCCCGCTGCATTCATGAATGAGCTGCAGGACTTGGGAGAGGAGTTGTCAGCTCTGTGGCAGCCCTGTTCACACCAGCTCCAGAAATGACTGTATCAGACGACTGAGATTTCTCTTAAGTGCCTCTCCATGTACCTTTTCTCCTGATGACAAATGGGACATGGCCTTACCTCTCCTTGAAAGGGGAGGCAGCGGTAATAGAAGAGGAAATGAGGAAATCTAATCATGGCAATGATGATGATGATGATATACATTAACAGATGGACATGCTTTGTTGACAGATGCAGGACAGATTTGATTTGGATGCTAATTGTTGAGCAAAGAAGGCAAATTGTGAGGCGGCCACAGTGGAGACGGAATAAAACTTGAGAGGTGATGGTGCCGTTTCACTAGTGTGGATGAGCTGCGGTGGTGTTTTGAGGCGCTGCAATGCTGTGTGGACTAAACATTTTATAAGTGCTGAAACTACAGCGGGCATGAAATGAGCCAACCCTGAGTGACTCTCCTTAGCTTCTAAATATGGAGTGTGTGTGTGTGTCTGTGTTACACTCCCTAGCTCTCTGGAGATAATTCCTTTACGAGTACATCAGTATCAGTACATTATCATGGCACTGTCTAATGAACACAGCCTTCCACAGCTAATTTGAATGACTCTTAGCCCCTTCTGTCTCTCTCATTTCCACTGGGCGACTTAACCATGTTAGTCCAGTCAGTCAATGAAGATGAACACCTTTAGGAGTTGGATTTTTTTCTTTCTTCTACGATGCACTAGGCCCCGATGTTCCAGCATGGAGTCGCACGATGAAGGCGAGGGGTTTCCTTTCTGCAAAGCATGTCATCTTTTCCTTGTGAATCAGTGGGTAGTTTCTTACTATATTCTAATAAATCAAAGGATGAAAGTTAAATACACCCACGAACTGTGTTTTTTCATTTAGCCAATCATTTAAAATAACATTTAAACCAAAAAAAAAAGCAACCTCAATTAATACTGACTGAACTGATAAAATGTATGTAGGTCCATGTTCAGAGATGGCCCGGGACAACAGACGTCACACTGCTCTTCTCTTCAAACCGTTTCCATTCTCAGCAGCATTATGATTGAAGTCGATACCGTTTCCCCGGCTCGGCTCAGCCGTTACAAATCTGAGTTCACCGATGGCCTCGGGGCACTTAAGTCCGCGTTTCCTCTCGCTCGTGCATACTAAGAGAAGAATCTATGTGGATACAATATTGTTTTTTCCAGTGCCCCTTTCAGAGCAGCGTTACGCGTTGCTGTGAAATCTGCAGTTGGGATAGAAAGCTACATGCTGGCATCTGCTGTCCATTTGGAGCACACACACACACACACACACACACACACACACACACACACACACACTCAGTAATAAGACACAAACGTGCAATTAGTGTTTTAATAATTACATTATGCAGAATTGCAATGGCAGTATTCATCATAATAAATTGTGCGTGATGTTAATGGACAGAAATAGCTGTTAAAAAAACAAAACAGATAATCATGTTCTCAAATATATGATTGCATTCACTTTTAGACAAGTTACAGTTGATTGACACATTTTTTGAAAACAGACACTAATGTAAAAATGTATGATGAATAACTCATGATATTTATGTCACAATAAACACATTCAGACAGCATGAGATGGCAATATTGCTGAATGAGGCTAGGACTGAAGGGACAGTA